CTGTATACTACCTCTCTGGAGGTACCTATGTAGGTAGGTAGGAACCCATGTTGGTGACCTGTATACTACCTCTCTGGAGGTACCTATGTAGGTAGGTAGGAACCCATGTTGGTGACCTGTTACAACCGTACTAGTATGCAGATGCGAACAATTTTTAAGTTCGACCCAAAAGAGGACGTCCACAGCAGATGCATTGGTTCTGGCTCGTGGATGATAAGCACTATGTGTAGAAGCCCATTCCCTTCTTGCCCCAGATGACTCCGCCTGCACCATGGGTGTTCTGTTTGATTTTTCAACGATATTGTGCTGCCGATGCTTCAATGCCAATAGCAGGAAGTGCATCTTGGGTTGAATTGAAGCGAGGCGCGTGCTGACAGCGGTGACAATGCTGTCCAAGATATGCTTCATGGAAGCACCTGGGCGCATCCTGGATCAAGCCTTACAGTCTGGGACCGTAGGATGTCGCACCGTGTACCACGGCTACCAGAAGTGGTGATCAACTGTGATTGCGTCGAGCCGGAGGCGGACAGTCGTGGTTGACTCGGCAGAGCCACTTCCGCGGCTCACGTGTGAAATCAACCGTGTCCTGTCCTGTGTCTATGGCGGCCGTCGGATCTACTCATTCCGTGCACACCAAGCGTAAGCGATTAACTGCGATGAGTAGCCGCAGGCACATGTGGACATTATATAATGGGCGACACTGGATGTTCGGTTGTTCGCAACCACTGGCCGTATCCTCGCTTGCTCGGGTTGGATACGGGCAGTCCTGGCAAATTGTCGTCAAGGCAGAGTTATGTCAAAGTGGAAGGTTGGCATTTTCCTGTCGCTGTCGTCCTGGTGGATTCGAATATAAGCTCGATTAGGACAGTTGCGTGGCCAAAAGTGTGAACCCCAATGAAGTTGATGTGTCCGTTATCAGCCGAACAGCTCCGCATTGGCGAGGCTTGCGGGTTTTCTTGGTGCGCCAGAGCTCAAAGCAAGCGACTTCTTCTTGACCGCAAATTCCTGGGCGCCTCCCTGACGACTGGCATGCCTGGTGGCCCGACGTAGTCTGGTCTCCCTCCGCAGCTGATTGGGGCTGACGAATTGCTTGTTCTCGTATATCACGGGGCCTCCGAAACTGCCTTCCAGAATGACGACAGGGGTAAGGACGAAGCGAGGGCCGATCTCAACCAATGAGACATCTCCACTTTTGGAATGGTCTTTGCTGGCTTTGTCGGGTTCGGATTCACGGATCTCGTAGACACGTATCCATACTTTGCCATCGAGTCCGTAAATGCCAATGACACGGTCGATGAAAGGTTTCATCCCTCGCACCCCCTTTGGAGGCACACAAAAGACGCCTCTTAGCATTTCCCGGAGCAGGGACCGGTGTTCCTGGCCTGCGATCTGATCGTCGAAGCTCTTGTCAAACACTACAATGCCTCTTCCACCCCTCAGGCAATTACCCCCAAACCCGAGCTCGGCCATCGTATGGACATTGGTCACGCTGAATTTGATCGTGGGCCCGTTCGGCGCACGCGCTAACCACAAATACAAATCTTGACCATGTTTGCGGGCTTCGAGGAAGAAGACATAATTGCACGAATGAAGGTCGGCCAGTCCGTTGAGGGCTGAGTTGTAGTTGTTGGATGACTTGGTGTCCAGTTTCGTGTCTTTGTAGGTATGAGGCAGTAATGAATGGAGGTCGCTAAGCAGATGTCGGTGTCTGGAAATCAACGTCAGCTCGCATCCTTGAATGGGTTGTCTATTCAATAAGTAGTTAAACCAACCTGTACGATACACCTCGAGAGGTCAGCATCAGGACACGATTGCGCACTTCGCTCGGCAATTGTGCCAGGCTATTCTGTCTCTTGGATTCAGATGATCGTTCACCACTGGGCGAGTCGGCTCGGACGGTGTTGCTGCTGTGATCCGATGATATGGAGCCTGTCTCATCGGAGTCAGATGAGTCGCCGGAGCGCATAGCAGATTTGTACGCGGACGCCATAGTCGCAAGTACCAAGACGAACGAGCGCTTTTGAAGTCGAGTAGTAAAAGTAAACTTCAACTTGGAGTCTGGGAAATTTTTGTCATTCACTGCAGATTGTAACCGGCGATAAGATACGAGTCCGGAGATAAAGACACCGGCAGCCCTTGGCAACTTCGGCTGCCGCCGCTTTATCTCCAGTGCGAGTGATGAGCCACTGCACTCCAACTCCGAGTTCAAGTTCAACTTCAAACTTCGAGGTTCTGCAATGCCGGTGCTACGGCTTGTACAGTTGTACTGTAAACTACCAGGTATACCATGTATCTCACAACTGAGACCGTATTATCAGGCTTCAAAGGCGGAACCCCACACTGGTCACTGTTTGCTATCAGTTCTGCGTCTGCAAGTCCGAGGTCTGCCGAGAGCAAAACAATGACTCGCCTCCCGCTCATGCAGGGGAGTTCTTTCAAGTATGAATCTTTGGAACGGGCCATGACTTGTGCCAACGATCCCGGTGTCCCAGAGGCGGAATGTCCACCTTGATAGCAGTAACGCGGCTCTCCTGCAGGGCCTTATTCAATGTACTGATAGCAATGCCAGCACCGATGCAAGTCCGCATACAGTCTTGCACGTCCTTTGTCCATTCGCTTTCCACCGTACAACTCGCAGCTGCGGAGGTGCCGTGCGCCGCCGTCATTGAGTGCGCCCCGGAGCTCGAACGAGCTTCCAAGCTCCACTTGTCCTTCATAACTTCCTCCAGTGCCTTTCTTGCCACCTGAATCAACTGTGAAGCCTGATGGAGCAGAACTTGATCTGGTAAGTTTCGTAGCGAGGATGACTGTTTGGCCATTTCCACGCTTATAGGTTCGGGGACGGACAAATGCATGAACGGCCGCATCCTGAGTTCGTATCTAAGAAAATCGGACGCATATGCTGGCTTGGGAGTTGCCAACTGTCCGTGTCGTTGTAGGACGACAATCATGCGATGCAATGCTTTCGACAATGCCTCAACAGCCTTCAGCCACGTGAACTCCTTATATAATCTGCGCAGTGTATACCGCGTATCTTGCTCTGGTGATAACTTGGAGAGCTGCGTCGATGATACAAAGAAACTAACCCGTTCCAGATGCGAAAGGTGTGTGCTGGATACAAAGGTGAGATACCAGTACATGTCGGCGAACTCGTGTGGAGTGTAGATAGCAAGCTCAAAGCCCATCTGTACAATCGTCCGAAGCTGAGTGAGCTTGTGGTGGTAGACCCAGCTGCTGAGAGAATAAGAGAATGTCAGCTCATCACCAGATGGGTAAGAGGCAGGCTCTTCCTGCAACATCGACTGTGCGAGAGTGTCTATATCCTCCGCCTGGGCTTGAATTTCATCCCACTCAAGCACAGCATGGCACAGCGTACGTCGTACCCGGCAGCGATTAAGGCAAAACGTTCTAAACAGATTGAGGAAAGAATGCCCGCATCGATTCATGAACGAATCAAGATGGGTTTCGAGATCGGAACATGTGTTGGTTGACTGGTCATCCAGGCCAGCGATGTGGTCGGCAAGAAGCACGGCAGGTCTGACCAGAGAGCCCATATCTTGCGATATAAAGTCTCTGACAGTGGACTTGCCTAGTACGGCATCATTGCAGGTCAAAAAAGACTGCACCAGTGCACGTACGTAGACAGCAGGCTGCGGTGACTGCCCCATAAAGGTCTGGTATGCCACCAGTAAGTCCCGGCTGCACGAGATGTCGAACAGTTGAAAAGCTAGGCGACAGTCGGTAATCAGACGTCTGAGGAAGGCGAAAGTCCTTGGTCGTTCAACGGTGACCATGGGTCTTGGTGGTACACTACTGGCAAGTTTCCGTTGGATTTTCAGCGTGAACGATTCATCGACGGTAGGCTGGCCCAAGACTGTTGATGCTTCTGTCGTGTTAATATTGCCGATGAATTTTTCGAAATCTTCCACGGTATTCCGCGGGCCAGGTACACGGGACTCGAATAGATGCAACAGCGAGTGCCGTAAGTCCAGCCGGACTTTGAGAGCCTGCTTCAACTCAGCCGGGATATTGGAATCTTGCAGCCAGATGGAGGCGCCCTGCAGCAAGGTCGAGACTTCATCGACCGGGAAGTTGTGAAGCAATGGTCTGTTGTAGACCTGCGTTGCAAAATCTTCCTCCTGCAATGAATGTGGTCAGCACAACCCGTAAGTGAGTCTTACGGAATTATACCTCGTAGTAATGCTCACTTGTAATGGTGGACAAAACGAGGTCACAACACTTTATCAGACCAAGGCAGTAAGGTTGAAAAACACTCAACAGGAGAGAGGAGGTTTGGGTCATGCCAGAATCGCCACGGTCAAATCGAGCATCAGTGAGATGTTTCGGCTCCGGCCACAACAGTCGTTCTATATGGACAGAGGTAAAGAGAGTCTGAGATAGAGGATAGCCAGTGTGCCACGCAACCTGTCGAAAAATGAGCGCACAGCAAAGGCCGTGGATTGAAGAATGAACAGTACCTCCCGACATGTCAGCTCATCCATTAACCATATTATCTCCTCCGCGGACGGGGTCAAGGAAAGATCAAGATCTTCTTCATCGTCGGGGCCAGATCTGAGGGCTCCACTGTCCATCTTCGGGTCCCCTATCTAACCTGATGGTGAGATATTGGATTCCATTGTCATGACGGCCCACTGACCTCTAAGGCGCTAACGGCCTCGAATAGTGTAAAGTGCTCATCTTTGACGAGCTTGCCCGGGCGCAGCCCTATTTCTGGGTCAGAACTCGAACTTGAAACAGTTCTGGTAAACCAACGTGACGCCGCTCCACGGAATTGCCGAGTAATGTCATTCACTTGCACGTTGGGATGTAAGATTTGGGGAAGAACCATGGCCCTAATGGTGCTGCCGAGCGTGGTGGTCTTGAGAGTTGGAAGAAGGTGGGCAAGCCGGATGGTCGAGGTGGTATGTAAGGAAACTTGAATAAAATAACTCTGGTACCAAACTCGGTTGAGGAGTCGAGTCCAGTTGGAGCAGCCATCCGGCACAACTGCTGAATTAATAACAGCAGACACACTGCAACCAGTCTACGAGTGGCATTCTACTACTACGTTCATGAAATGCGAAGCTCGCATTGTGGAAGACAGTAATAGCTGTCAGAGTTCAAGTTGTGGGATTGATGAAGCTCAAGTTGAAGTTTACCAAGCCGCTGCCTCACGCAACGAACTAATCATTGGACTTTCTGGTAGATATGCACAATCGTACAGTTCTTCGAGCTTCAACGCATCTCCTGCTTCGTTCTCAAGCCCATGTAATTTGTTGATCTATTTCGCTTCCGCGGTCGCATGTTCCGCCATCGCATCTGCATTCGCTTCACCCAAGCTCTTGACATCGCCCTGTTTTCCGTTCTGCGCCCGTGGAATTAGCAGTCAAGTCGGCGGAGGACGCTTTTGCGCAAGCGAAGCTCACCTGCCACTTTGCAAATCTGAGGTCCATCTCTCCTCTCCTCTCGGCTTGGAGTCTGGGTCCTTCTTTGAGTGACCGTCGGACGACTCGGGCGGCAATCGCCAGATATCGGTTGTAGCTGCGAGTGTCAGCGCGAGGCTCAGCGGTGAAAGGAGCACAGCATAGCCTACGTCAAGCCGGCGGCCTTCCAAGCGAAAGCCATGTTGAGATATGGAACGTGCGGTTTGCGGGAACGATCCGATGTTGAAGTTGTCTGGGTTGAAGCTATCGCCGGTACAGTGGTAGAGAAAGTCGCAGCCAAAGTTCAAGTTCACGACTTGCTGCAGTTCAGGTTGGACTAGTGCTACGGTGCTTCGCAGAAGCTCCCAACGCAGTGCCGGGGCTGGTCCCAGTCACGGTGGACTGCAGCGTCGGTGAGGTGCATTTCCCGCCAAGCTACTTTATTTCTAGTACTACGGAAAGGAACGGCACGGATTAACTTTGGCGCGTTGCATGTTCCACTGGCAAAAGCTTGTCGTGTCTCAGATTCTCCCAGCCTGAGATCCCCTACAGGGACAGCATCTACCATTACACATGCCAGTGTTCATTGAAGCTGGAATGCCAGTCCGTTGCAGTCAAACTTCTACGACACTGGGAGAATGTCACGCTATCTCATCGCAAAGGCGCATGGGCAGAAAAGCCCGGTACTCTGTCTTGTACTTACATAAGGAATCAACCATTGCTCACTACCACACGCAGCGCAGCATGACATCTTATGAATCTGTATACTAGCACTGGGACCGGTGCTGGGACCGAAAAAGACAGCTCCCTTGTGGTAACAGCGGCAAAGGCCCAGAGTTCAAAGAAGCTTGTTGTGAATCACCGGACATCTGGCTGTCCAACGCCGGAGCTGGATTGAAGTATACCCGTATTGTGGACAGGAAACAAAACCCTCGTCATGCATATAGCACGTCGAATATGGCGTTCCCACATGCCATACTAGCCACACTGTTGCTCAGCGGTTCACAGATCACGAAGTATCATGACAGATTCGTCGAGACGGTTGATCTCAGCCATGAACCAAGCTTCCTTGCGTCGCCATTGGAGCAACACTTGGAGTTCGGCGGGTGCGAGCATCTCCGCTTCGCTTCCTTGCACATCGGTCCTCTCCACTTTACTCAAGGTGGATGCCAGTCGTTCTCTTTCAAGTCGCAACCGCTGGAATAGTCTTGCCATCGTTTTGTAGAGCCTGCCGAGGAATAACTTCCGAACTCGCTCCGGGTCATAAAACCAGAGGAATATCGTGCGGTTAGGCTGCCTCTGCGGCTCCCGTGGGACTTCCTGGAGCTCCAGAAACCCCAACATCTGAAGTTGGGCCAGACACTGGCGGAGGTCTTTGGCGCCCAACAATCCTATCTCCTGCAATGTCTTTTCATCCAACTTGCCCTTATCCATGAGCATCCGCACAATTCTGAGTGCCGGTCCATCCAAACTCTCTCCCATCAGTCTCATCAACTCTTCGTCGCGCAGGAAATGGTTCAGACGCGTTCTGTGCAAAAACCATTGATTACCACTAGCATCCTGGGAGAGAAAGTTGAAAGGCCCCTCAGCTAGGACTGCTAGTTGAGATTCAATCTGCCGGTTGTGCATTGCGCCATTGACGAGTTGGTCACGGTGACCATTGACGAGACGCCCCTCTGAACGCCAGTTGTGTCCACCAAAATCTCCGTTCTGGCCCACTAGTTTGTCCTCTTCGGATATATCATTGCTAATTTTCGGGGTATTGAGGCGGTGTATCATTGCTGACGTATTATCTCGACGCTTGACGGGACCTGAGTCAACATCGACTTGCAGGCAGGCCGCTCGCAGCACCTGTGCTGCCTCTCGGCCGAATCTCTTCTCCACCGCAATGGCTAATCTTTCATTGCGTGTAGACATAACAAGGTTTGAGTGGTCGATGCATAGCATGGGCACAGACTGCAAAGTCAGCCAGTAACACCCGTCGGATTTTGGACCACATACCTGACTATACACGGCATTTTCCTGACTGCGCTCCCGCTGTTCGAGAAACTGGAGAACCGAGTTGGAGGAGATGGTGCCATCCATCCGCGACTCGAGTTCCACATCGACCCTGTGATCAATCTCCGACTGCACCTTCTTGCCCTTGGCGGACGGCATTACACCAAGATGGCGAAAATGACGCTCAACCTCTTGGCGGGCATCGAACGGTGATTGAAAATGTGCGTCGCGGACGCTCGTGATGAAACGGTCATCGATTAGACACCTGAGAGCGGTTCGGAAACGCTCCCTGGACTTTTGATCGACGTCAGGGGTGGCACCATTCTGCAAATGCCCGTTTGTAGACGCAGCGGGTTCTTGAGGATTAGCGAAGTGGCCGTCACCAGATACACGTGCCTCCAGTTCATCAGGGGTGGCATAGCCGAGGATGGCCAAATGCTCCATAACCTTGGCAGCCGCTTGGCCATATCTCCGCGCAGCGAGTTCAACCAACTGGCCAGTCCGGATTAGATTGTACGCACTATGCGTGTTGGCTTGATATGTCGACGACCCATCGGGAGTGGTATGTTGATAAACCAAACGAAGCTGAATCAACGCGGCCATGCCAGCCTTGACCTGACGTAAGGGAAGTCGACATTTTTGTGCAACTTGATTCACAGAGAGCCTGCCTTGTTGGGCTAGATGTTGAAAGATTTCCTGTCCAATGGGTTAGCCGTGTAGCGAGAAATCAGAGCTGGCAGCCACAGACAGCAAGAAAACTCCCATAGACATCTTCGACGGCAAGGCAGCATAGCCGCGCATACTCCTATTTACGCATCAAAATTGTGCACGTATCCCTTTCATTCGCGGCCCTCATACCTCCATAACTGCCGAAGAGTGCACGTGACGTGGGTTAGCAGCGAGAGCCAGACGTTGCCTTCAGAAACTCGTGCGCTGGCAATAATCACAAGGATGCAACATTCATCGCTGAAGGAACAAAAGCAGTATCTTTGCAAAGGCGAAACCCACCTGGCGGCCCGGGGAGACAACAGGGGGAGTGGCCGTGGTGAAAGGGTGGTTGAGAAACTTGCGAAAGAAAAGGCTCAGACACAGGCAGTGCACTGCAAATACTTGACTGTACTACTGCTAATAAACTGCTTGGATCTCAGCCTCTCGAAAAGGTTTGAAGGCTTGGCACGACTAAACTCGTCCTGGCCAATGGCAGGGCATTCAATTCCGCGCAGGTCCCTAATTGTACAGCGAGCGAAGTGAACCTCCACTGCAGCTCGCTCGCTCGCATTACATCCATCCCATCCAACTGCGTCGTCGTTTTTGAGGTAGCTCCCTCGTCCAACAATCGCACCTCACCTCACCAACCCTCACTTTTCGCGCCAATCCGGTTCACCATGGCTTCTCCAGCTTCGCTGGGCTCCAGGGCTTTGCGGGCCAGTCGTCAGGTCCCCGTCACGACCTTGCAACGAAGAGGATTAGCAGCAGCAGCTTCCGGAAGCTTTCAGTATGAGACCGGCGAATCGTCAGGCATCAAATACGCGAGCAGAGATTTGCCCGGGCCCACGACAACCTTGACTGTGATTTCAAGGGCCGGCACAAGATATCAACCTCTCCCCGGACTTTCGGACGCACTCGAGAAATTTGCTTTCAAGGTCTGGCGGCGCCTATGCTGAGCTCACCGCAGTTCAAGGCTAACTTGTGCAGTCCACCGTCAAACGATCGTGTCTGCGGATTACTCGCGAGTCGGAGCTCCTAGGTGGCAACCTGTCCGCCTACCATTCCCGCGAGAATCTCGTCCTCCGAGCCAAATTCCTCCGAGAAGATTTACCATACTTCACGGAACTGCTGGGCGAAATCATCAGCCAAACACGATACACCAGTTTGTGCAGTCAGAACCCCGATCACGTCTGCATTTTTCTAACCGTAAATAGCGCACGAGCTTGATGAAGAGGTGGCGCGCGTCCTGAAATTGGAGCAAAAGGCTCTTCTTGCCAGTCCGTTGTCACTCGCCGTCAATTCGGTCCACGCAGTTGCCTTCCACCGCGGATTGGGAGAACCGTTACATCCTACCTCCTCTACGCCGATCTCCAAATATCTTGATGTAGATGTCATTGCGGAGTTCAGTCGCGCTGCATACGCTCGGGACAACATTGCCGTTGTCGCCAACGGCGCAAGTCATTCAGAGCTGTCCAAATGGGTGGGAGAATTCTTCACCAAAACCGCAAACGGCTCCAGCGTCTTCAAATTGTCCAGCCCCGCATCCAAATATTATGGCGGCGAAGAAAGAATTGCGCACAACTCTGGAAATGTGGTGATCCTCGCTTTCCCAGGCTCCAGCTCGTTCACTTCCGGATCGTCATTCAAACCAGAGATCTCGGTCCTTGCCGCGCTTCTTGGAGGGCAATCAAGCATCAAATGGTCGCCTGGATTCTCGCTGTTGTCCCAAGCGGCGAAGGATTTCCCCGGAGCCCAGGTCTCCACTCAGCATGCCGCATATTCGGATGCGGGCTTGCTGTACGTTACCATCTCTGGAGAAGCAGAGCAGGTGGCGAAGTCCAGCAAGAATGTGGTGGATGCGCTCAAGAAGGTGGCGTCAGGTGAAGTTGCAGAGGAAGACATTCAGAAGGCAAGGGCCTTGGCCAAGTTCAGGGCCCTTGAAGCCGGTCAACAGACTGAGGCTGGCCTCGAAGCCACCGGAGCTGGCTTGATCACAGAAGGCAAGCCGTTCCAAATTGACGAAGTCGGTGCGGCCATCGACAAGGTTTCTGGGGATAAGGTCAAAGCGGTAAGTGTCGCATGCATAAGTGCGAGATCTCAGCATTCTTCAACCGAGGCTGACGTATATGCAGGCGGCCAAACAATTACTCGACTCCAAGGCATCAGTTTCCACGGTGGGAGACTTGTTCGTCCTTCCGTTCGCTTCGGAGATAGGCTTGAACGTTTGAAAGAGTCGGAGAGGATTTGCTTGACTAGCCCACGGCGATGTAACATTTGTAGATATCAGACCGATCGCGAGAGTTTAGCCGAATTTTATATGTCAAAGCTTGTGTCTTGTAGCCTTTCCGGAAGGCCATGTTTTCACAGCGCAGTACACTCGGTCTCAGGTTTTCCAACACGCTCTTGCTGATCCATTGCGCTGGTTCATGAGTCGGTGTCTTGGACAGCTTGCCCAACAGGCACATGTGCTCATTTTTTTTTATCGTAAGGCCGGTTGGGCTCAAAACACTACTGTATCTAGCTAGATATGTTGTAGATCTGCTGGACGGCATTGCCGAGTGAATGGCTCGAAAGTCGGCTTTGGAATTCTGCGGATCGCCCGTGCCTCCCTACGAGTGAAGCAAATACAGCAAACAATACGGCAAAAGTAGATTGCTGCCGTATGGAGGCAGCCGACTGATGGTCGCTTGTTGAAGCAGCTCAAGATACGCTTAGTCGCAGAGACCTATCTCGGCGGGGACTAGGACGTCCTTCGCCTCTACCGGGCAACCAAGAAGAACATCTAACAGTAGGACTCGGACGGCCAATAAATAGAAGCCAGTGAGTGGGTAGACGCCCCCAGCCACAAGGGCTTGGATCAGGTAAAACCCTCTGGTGTTTATCATATTCGCAAGAAAACCTCCCCGTTCACCATGCATAGCCAGCGGAGTCCATTTCCGTATCACGGCCATTCCAATCTGCATCGTCGTCTGGCTCGTCGTCCAAGAAGTCCGCCTCCTGGAACTGGTCTTGAGAAGGCCGTTGATCCGACAGGACCAGGTTCACCACCTCACATCTGGGCTGCACCGGTTTCCCCGTCCCGGTAACGCTGTCATCCGCTTGAGCATCTACACTTGATTTTCTGAGTTGACTGTTCGCTATCCGGCTGCTCTGTCTCTGAGCTGTTGTGTTAGAGGGTTCGCTGGCAACGCTGGACGGCTCTGCAGAGCTAAGAAAGACGGTTTGTAGCTTCGGCAACCATGTTTTCCTTAGCTTGGCACGATCCCGCCAGCTAGAGCCTTTCAAGATCGCTTTGATGTTGAGTTTTCTGAGAAAGGGTAAATGTTCGGAGGAGTTGACCAGAGAGGTCAGGAAGGCTTCGGCGTCTGCAGCCGAGAGTTGACGAAGATTCTCTACGGAGATGGTGACCAGCTCGGTTGGCCAAGTCGGAGGGCCATTGGGCAACAGCTCGTCGTAGAGAGGGTCTCTATCACGGTACGAGGTCGGATCGACGTAAAGCATGTCAACTTCAAGCCCTCTCAGTCGTGGACAAAGCTCTTGAAGGCCGGCCATAAAGCCTAAAGACATGGATTGGTTTCCAAAGAGCTTGAGTGTTCTCAACGAGCCTCCTCCTAGGCGCAAGTAGTGTTCGAGTGCCTCGGAGGTCAAGCTTGGGCAATGAGACAACTCCAAATGCTCGAGATTGAGAGGTAGAGCGGTGGCTGCGACTTCGTCGAGCAGAGCGCAGTTGCGAAATGCCAGACTCTTCAGCTCTGACGAATGTCGAAGTGCAGCAGCAAGAAGGCTGTGCGCCTTCGCAAGATCCGCGTCATCGGCCTTCTCTGCAAGTGTTAGGTTCAGGAAAGAAAGGTGGCGGAGGCGCGCGAAAGAGGCGCTTGAATGGACATTCATTGCAGTTTCGAGAGCTTCCATGGCAGTAGAAAATCGACCGTTCCATTCGAAGCTCTTCAGCATAATCCCACCGGTGTTGAGACGGTCAAACATTTCCGCTGGATACGTCCAGTGCAATCTCTGAGCGGTCGGCTGCGCCCAGATGAGCGTATTGAAGTCGTCTTCATTTGAGTACAGGCGTATACCCTGCAGGAGAGGGGTGTGGCATAAAAGCGTGTCGAGTGAGATGCCGCTTTTCTTGCAAAGGAGATGTTTGACTTCAATATCGAGATGATGGATCCTCTTGCCATACTCCCTGGTGAGTGCCATGGGGCTGCTCTCTAACAAACGTAAAAGGCCGCTTGCTCGCCACGCAGGATACAGCGGAGGGCTATAAAGCAGCGCAGCCATACAGGCATCGTGAAATGATCGGCAGAGCAGAGACGTAGAGCACAGCCAGTTGATGGAACCATTACTGCGGGACGCCTTTTCGTAGAGGGGAAAAGCAGCATACTTCATAATGCTGACGAGAACATGATAGGGGAGTTGCTGCCATGGTGGTACACGCTGAGGTGAAGAAAGCAGTGGCGTGCTTGGTGTTGGCTTTGCTGTGGCCAACTTAGAATGAGATTCTGTCGCCTGGACTTTCCGGCGTTTGTACGAGTTGAACGAGCTTGCAGCAGCCGGCGTAGTTCGGGATGGTTGCTTTCTTTTGCGTGATTTCATATCGAGGGACTGTCGTCGTGGTGCAGGACGCGACTTTGTGCCCCTTGTGCATAAAACCTCTTCAGATGAGGCCTCAGATATTGCAGTCGATGATTCGTCTGAACTGTTGTCGCTCGATTCTCGGTATGTCTGAACTCGTCGGACAGACCGAGAGGGGCGAGAACGGTGTTCGGATGCTCCCAAATCCCCTGAATCGCTGTCATCGTTCGTATAGCGGGCTAAAGGCGCGCGACGAGGCCGACTCGAACGATGAGTGGAGGACATGCTGGTGGCGCATGTGATGCGTCTCAGGGTCGACAAGTGGGCACAACCAGAAAGAGACACGGGGACACTGAGTAACAGACTGGTGTATTTGGTGCAATGTGTTCTATAAGACTTGAAAGGCTACACTGCAGCGAAGAGTCGAGGCGGATCAACTTTATAGTAACTTCAAGTTGATCATGATGGCCGCCTGGTAGTACTGCAGCAGTACTTATTATGTAGATGATGGCGGATGATGCCTGCGATTACTAAAGTAGGACACACTGCACGTGCTGCAGTGGTTTAGTGGTCGCAGGGAGGCTAGCAGTGATTTAATGCGCACCGGAGGCTTATAACGACAGGTTTGCCGAAGGAATGCTTACTAATGAACCGCCCTCCCACGTTGGACGTTTGCGGTCTCGGCTTGATTCCTGGGTCACTAGGTAGGCAAGTAGGTAGAATGTACCCTGTGTCTGGAGGAGGAAAGAAGCCTGACAACGCTGCCTGCTACTACTTATCATTTTATTAGTACGGGTAGCTGTTGTTGCCTTGTGCCTCTGCTACCTAGGTACGTACTGTGGTAATAATTAGTACTTACCTAAGGGTGCATCAATCTCCGATGGTCTGACTGCTACCTAGGTACCCAAGTCTTCTACAAAGTAATAGTGGTGCTAGTTGGGCGGCGCGCAATTTCATCTCTGCTCGGCACCATGGAACACCCCTGATTAAACAGATTCCAGGCAAAGACAAGATTTGATAATACTTCAGCCACCCGGAAGCGCCTCGGCACCATTTGGTGTCGCTGATACCCTTTGGAATCATGTAGGAGCTTCGAATAGGACGAGGACTCCGTCGGTGATCCTCCTGGCTACCAAAGCACTGTACTGGGCCAGCTGCGAGCTTCCTTCCAGCCACATTGCGCGGGCTCTCTGATTTGCCGACTGCGAAAACCCACCGCGACCGATCCGATCTGGCCGGGGGCTTCAACTGCTGCCCTGCCAACTTTTTGCTTTGCCGCAGTTGCACTACGACGACGAGTAGCACTAGTCCTGTAACTGCAGCTGGCCAATCCTGATGCGGCCACTGCCCCTGCCACTCCTGTTGCGTCGTTCAGAGACAAGACATTCCCAGAATATCACAACTCTTCCGCAACTTGCTATCCAACCATCCATCATCTTGCTCCGTCTTGCTACTCCGACCGCTTCAGACTCGAGACGCGCAGACACCCGCTCGATCATACTTCCAACTCTTCGACCATACATGCCATTTCAAAAGTTCCGGCCGCTGTTCGTCGAGGGCAGCTTCTGATTCAATCCCCATCGAGCAGACGCTCCCTAAACGGGCTCGACAAATGGGGTCTACACAATTTGGGAATTTTCAAGTACGAGGCCATCGAAGATAGGCTTCCTCCACTGGGCACACTGCTGACACTCTCTGTACGCAGGACTTCTGTCGCGACTCGACGCTACCGATATGTAATGTATGTCTCAACGCCCATTGCCTTCGTCCTTCCTCCTTTCTAACATTCGGCAGATTCTCACGAGTTACAACCAGCCGCCGGGAAATGGCTATGGTGGCTGCGTCCTTCGCGGCATTACACTGAGCAATAATAGATATCTTGCCAACCTGGGATCCATACTTCTCTGCGGTGTTGCCATTCTGTGCACGCTGTTCCTGCTATGGCGAGCCGAACGGAAAGCGGCAGCTGTGGGTCGTCGCGAGATGCAGCTGTTCTTCCTCGGCTTTCTCGTTATTGAAATCTGCGAGATCTTTACTGTGGGCGGCTTTCCACTGGATAACGATGTACGCAAGGGCTTTACAGCGGTTCATCTGGCCGCGATTACCGCAACAACGTGGTTGCTATTGATGAATGCGTTGGTTGGGTATCAGTTGATCGACGATGGCACGCCGCTGTCGCTTGGTCTTGTGGGAGGAAGCGCCCTCGTGCTCTTCATTGGAACAGGATATATCGCACTCGACACGGCCTTCTCCTGGACTGGATATTGGGATTCTTCGCTACAACCACCCCATCGCAACATTGCGCTTTACGTGCTGTATCAGCTCGCGCCCTTGGTCTTCATGTTCCTGTTCTTTGTTCTGGAATCAATACTGGTCCTGAGGATCCTCAGAGAGACAAAGCCAATGGTCTATCTGATTGCGGCCACCCTTCTTTTCGCCATCGGCCAGATATTCGAATACGTCATATCGGTTCACATATGCAACCCTACGCACGGCAAAATCAATGGCGCGCTTTTCGAGACACTGTTCACCTTGTTGAGTGTCGTGGCACTGTTCGTGTTCTGGTCCTCAATCACCGAAGACGACTGGCCCATGCAGTGACATTCCAAAACCAAATACGAGCACAACGTTGCCCGAAAACGAGCGGAGTTGAACTAGAAGTGCGTTGACCGCTGTCTCGCACAGCCCGCCATTCAATCAGGGCGCGAAGCGTGTCGCTGCTTTGCGGCCCCACGATTTCTAGGACAGCTCCGGCAGCCGGAGCTTTGACGACCTTGACGCAGCGTTTGGCATTTTGCAATGTGGAACAACGGCATTTTTGGTCGAAGCTTTACATCACATCAATCGATCTGGGCATGACACATGAGACGCTCTATTCTGCTTCCAGCTGTTCTCGCGGTTGAGCTGTAATTTATTGTCAGCGCGGACCTTTAGGTCCAGACAGAATAGATAGTAACATAATGATCAACTACTTCTGCACATGCGTCTTCGGGAACTGAATGACGTGAACGTTAAGCATCGGAGGGAGCAAACGAGCTCAGAGTTGTTCCCCAGTAGCTGTCTACAGAGCCACACTTTTGCAGTTATCAGACCAAGCGCAGATATCATAACACCACCTTGACCCCGACACACGGCAATGTCCATTCATTTCGACCAAGGAGCTGCCGAAGCCAATGGACGCCGGTGCCTACCTCGCTGGTAGGCGGAGATGGCCCAGTTACATGCTCAGGAAGACTTTGACAAGCTTCGTTCAAGAAGCCTGAAACTGAATCCGTGGCCGCATGCGCAATCCCACGCACTGTGCTGCGTACTACATCCACCAGAAACCCGCCAACTTCGAACGTTCTGTTCATCTGTTCTGCCATTTCCGAAGATCGGGAGGTGTATAACCGGGGCACGAACCATGAAGCGATTGAGCCGGTCTCTTCATGCTGGTGGAAGTCGACAAAGCAGCGATTGGACCAATGACACGAACTCGCAAACAGTATGACGAGCAGAAACGAGCAATATATACACGGCCGGTTAAGGATGTAGGTCAAGACCAATAGGAGGACGAGATGGAGCGGCGACAACGACAGCGGTAACGGGAGGAGAAGTAAAGGTAGATAGCTAGGAGATCGAGCGTCAGTACCTCACAAATACAGCGCCGGCGAAACGACTTGCTCACCTTCGCAAACAATACATCTTGCCAGGGGTGACAATAAAGGCTATTCGAGTCCTAATCTTGGGCTGATTTGCGCAACTCAGGTGCAATGAAAGGCCTTCAGAGGCCACCGGGCTTGAGAGCCCGAACGATTGGAGACCTTTCGAGTGGCGAACCGTGATGAAAGTATAGGTACTCAGGCAGTGAGGAAAACCAGTGGTGCCTATTCAATGAATAGCCCCGTGAAAGTCTGGAGGGGATATGTAGAATCTGAGTAGGTCAACATGAACCAAGGCCTTCAAGAAACAATACTGGATATCTCCTACTAGTAGGTAGTAGTGGTGGTAGTACATAGTAATATTAGTAGTTGTACGGCTGCAGTGTGGCACACAATTGCGCCGCCCGTCATTGGTACGATTATGTAATACACTGCTGGTACGCATCACGTATCTGGCGGAACTTTTTGAGGCGCGGAATATCTATCTACCTGGTAAGGTACCAACTTGAATTGGACAACCACACAGGACCCTCGAGCTACCTCTGCACCCTGCACCGAGTACCAGGGAGCTGAATTCGCAGTATCTCGTGCTTCAGTTTTACTGCCGCATATCAGACATACAGGAGCAATCAACACCACTGCAGTGCTGCAGTGGATTGCTTGGGCTGTTTCCCATTGCGGCTCCAGCATTCTCACTCCAGGTGTAACATCCAGGACAGGAGAACTGCTTAGCTGCACAGGCTCGCTCTCGGCTTAGGTCCAGTAGCTTGCTTGGCCTACTATATCCGTGCCTTCATTGAGCTTGTCGTCGTCGTGGACTGTCTGAAAAATGTCGTCTACCGATCTCCAAGCTCTCTTTTCAAACCTCAAGCCAAAGTCCCAAGATGCCTCTGCGCCTTCGCAAGATTCCGTCCATGCTCAATCTCCCAACACCAACAGCCACCAAGCGCAGCCAGCCTTTTCTTCTGTGCCTTCCGAGCATCGTCTCAGTCAGATGACTAGCAACACAGGCTCAGGCCCTGCTGTCACGGCTCAGTCTCTTTTAAATCTGCTCAACTTCGGCCCTTCGTCCGCACCCACGCCGGATGGCAACGCCAGACCTGCCCCTAATTCTGCAAGAGCCGCAAACACCCCGAAAGAGCAAGACTCCGCGGCCGCTGCAGGAGGGTCTGCCGATCAAAGATCCTCCTTGTCCGCTTCTGAATTGGTTTCGAGGTTCATGAGTCCTGCAGCGTCTGCCTCCGCAGGGAAACCGCAGACACCATTCAAAATTGAAGATCAAGGAGGAGGCAGTGGTCCGGGATCTGCCGAGAGTACTAGGGATGCTTCTCAAGATGCGCTTCTCAAGCTACTTAGCCGGGCGCATCCCGCTAACATGGCCACTGGACAGGTCCCAACTGAGAGGACAGAACCTCAAACTTCGGACACCAAACCTGACAAAGGAGTGGCAAATGCGGCGAATCCGACCAGTCCGTCGCCAATCCACTTTTTTGGCTCCGGGACCAGCGCGAAAGCCACAGCTCTTCCGACTGAGAAGTCAACAACCGACCCTTCGTCTCAAGGCCCATCCATCTTCACCTACACCAATCCATTTGAAGCCTTGAACGCTTCACGCTCACAAACCCCAAAGGTAGGCACGCCTGTCGGGCCTGGCCTTGCCGATATCCCCCAACCAAGTGTTGAGGGAGCCGATGATGGCCCTGCCGAAGCAAGCGCGGGCCCGGGGACTCGCCAGCCTGTTACTAAGAGACGAATCCTAACACCCAGGCTGCCATCCTCGACGAAGGCCAACCCCATTTCTCGAGAAGTCTCACTCTCTGCGTCTGACAGGGAGAAGAAGCCTCTTCAAAAAGTTGCAGACAAGGACGCGTCAACTTCGGCTCTCCCTCGCCCCGTTCCGGACCTTTCAGAGTCCAGCAAGCAAAGTGAGGTGCCCGCCCCAGTTCTTAGTGATGAGAGACCTTTGCAGAATGCCAACACAGAGAAACCTTCCGACAACCAAGCTGAAGGTGGGGACGAATGGGAAGACACGGAAGATTCACCGAACAAGGAGTTTGTTGCCAGAGTTGTTCCTGTGTACAATTTCCCGATCAAGCCCTTTGTATCGATTAGCCTGCAGCTTCCTTCCAATTCGGCTGTCGGCATTAGGGATGATGGAGTCATGGAAATTTCGCGGTTGAAGAAGGACTTTGACCAGTTGGACCGTTCGCTGGCTGCTGCGACTTCAAAATACATTGCGTACGCACTGGTGAAAAACGGCGGTATGCGGATCATCCGACAAGACGACGGCAGCGATCGTCAAGTATTCAAAAACTCGCATGACCGTATCTTCAATGTGGCGATGTGTACCTCCTCTACCACAGGCGCGCCTTCGGATGATCAAGCCGTGCTCGGTACAGGTGTTAGCGGCGCAGTCTACTATGCAACCCTCTCAAAGAAGGGGAATGACTTGTTCGAGAAAGATGAGCTTGATTCTGAAAGTCTTATTTTTCCGCCCTATCCACCGTCCGACGAGAACACAGCCGGTGGTGTGCTCAAGACGCGCGCAAAACGAAGCTCACGTCACCCGGAGTTCTTCGCCGTTGGAAGGGGCAAGGCAATCCACCTGATCTGGCCGTCTGCTGCGATGTCAGAGAGATATGGTGTCACTGAACACAATCGCCGTGTTGACGTTGGGAAATTCTTCCAAGAACGGGCTTTACAGATCTCCACAGGTAAAGCCGGAAAAGATTTCACATTCAGCGAAGATGACAGCTTGATCGTATCCTTGGACAAGACAGGAAGACTACGATTTTGGGACATTCGAAAACTGATCGACGAGCGCACTACAACCACAGCACGTTCTGCAGATGCCACTGTCGATGTGCCCTTATTGTCGCTTTCCACAGCCTCGCCGGCCGAGAAATCATGGCCTACTTCTGTCTTGTTCGTTGATAAGGCTCGCCCTTACGTTAAAGGCGGCCCGCTTCGTTACGTTCTGGTCGGGTTGAGACAGAATCACACTCTTCAACTTTGGGATATTGCGCTCGGTAAAGCCGTGCAGGAGCTGAATTTCCCACACGAGAACGAGACAGATGCCATCTGCAGCGTCAGTTACCATGCCAATAGTGGTATCATCGTGGTCGGCCACCCAACTCGGAACTCACTCTTCTTCGTGCACCTCTCAGCGCCGCGTTATGCTCTAAGTTCATCATTGTCCCAGGCGGCCTACATTCAGCGGATCGCAGCGAAGGATCCCGACCTACCAAAACCGGACTCTACCGTGTGTATGAGTGGGATCCGCGAGATCTCGTTCGCCGGGAGGGGCGAGTTAAGAAGTGTTGAACTTTTGCCAATTTACAGAAGCTCTGAGGCACAGAAAGCCGTCGACATAACAACGCCACTGTTTGAGCTCTACATTGTTCACTCGAAAGGTGTCACTTGTCTGAACATCACCAAAGAAGATCTAGGCTGGAACTCCGAAAGCAAAGTTGTCCGCACCGTTGACGCCGCAAAGGAAGGACTGTTGACCCTGAAAGAGTTGAGGCTTGGTAGTGTCATCGAGGAAGGTAGCCGAAGTAGGAGTCCTGTCGAGGAAGTGCAGCAGCCGGCCAAGACGTCCAAGAAGAAATCTGGCAAGAAAGGCGCTGCTCCCGCGGAGCGTGCAGATGCCGACTTGATTGATAAGGATGTCCCGAAGACTGCGTCTGCGCCGGCCCAGGGCAACAGTGTCGAGTCTACTGCCGACGCTGCCAATGGCGACAGTTCAATGGCAAAGGAAAGCAAGAAGATTAAGAAGAAATCTCAACAGCACACAGAACCTGCTGTTACAGACAAACCGACCCTACGTACGGCGTCCCCTACAAGGAAGTCATCCCAGAGCTTGGAAGCTCCTTCTGGGACTGGTGTGACGGGTCCGGCGACAACATCGGCTGAGCAGGACGCTTCAGGCGCGGCCGAGGCCGCGGACAAGAATGACGCAGTTACGGTCGGCATCTCGGGCGATTGGCTGGACAAGGAGCTGAAAAAGGTCGAGCGGTCTGTGTCAGCAGAGTTCCGCAAGGAATTGAACCTTTTATATCAAAACATCCAAAACGATCGTGTGTTACAAGATGCATCATCAGTGGCACGACAGGAGGCTCTGCTTCGACTAGTCTCTACCACACTGACCAACAATGTCGAGAAGGCCCTGTCTCGTATCCTCGCCGCGCAGATGCACCAGTCTGTGGTCCCAGCGTTGACCACTGCCACTGTTCAGGCTGTTAGCAATCAGGTGGGCGAAACTGTCACCAGATCCCTTCATTCGATGGTACCGCGCGAGCTGGGCGTACAGCTACCTGTAGCCATCGACACTGCACTGCGAAGCCCTCAAATGACTCGAAGCATCGCGGAAACAATATCCCAGCGGATCTCTCAACAAACCGAAGCTCAGCTTGCGGATATTCTACAGAAGGAGGTTGTTCCCGCTTTTTCGACTCTTGCAATATCGGCTGCCGAGAAGGCAGCATCAGAGGTCGAAGTTCGACTCAGAAACGAGATCCGCCAGCTGGAAACCGAGAGACGACACGACATGACTAGACTGGAAAAGCTTGGGCAAGTCCTTCAGGCTACGGCAGAGACTTTGCAGCAAATGTCTAACACCCAGGTTGCTTTCCAAGGCCAGATTCTCAAGGACCGTCGGCAACTGGCGCAGCATGTAGAGGCCGACTCACCAGCAACGTCGCGCCAGGTATCGACCGCACGCGCGACATCGTCCCCACAGGCTGTTGTCCGACCAACGCCTCAGCGACCCAAGACAAGGGAGGAACTTGAATTGGAGGAAATCAGCCAGCTGATGAACGAAGGCCGCTACGAGGAAGGCTCGGTTAGGTGGCTCCAGTCATCTCAGCCAGCGGAGCTGTTCGACAGACTCTTCATCCACTTTACCCCCGAGTACCTTGCTACAGACGTGTCTCCGCTTATTGCATTCTCAATTGCAGTGACGCTGGGTAACTCTTTAGCAACCAACACTGCCCGTCGGCTCGAATGGATTTCTGCTGCCTTCAATGCTGTCGACCTCTCTGTAAGTGATTACTTGCTACCGAACTTTCTTAGCCCTTGGAAGTTACTAACATCTAAGCCTACCCAGGACCCGGAGATTGCCGACCTAGCACAGCACGCACCATCCTTATTAAGTTCGCTTATTCAGAGGCTGGAAAGTTTGTACATGGCCATTGCCGAGCGTGATCCCAGAGATCCGGCCTTGCAAATCATGCCCATAGTATCCAAGAAGGCAAAGGACATGAGGGCATCTTTGTTAAGCACTGCTGGACGCCCTGGGGTCAATCAAGGATACTGAGTCAAGTGGATTTTGGGAAAACTCGCTGCCAGCTCATGGTGACTAGATAGGAGAGTCTTACAATCTTCGATCGTGGGGTATGGAGAAAGCGTGCCGATATGGGGTAGGTTGGTAGCTTGGTCGTCTACTTCAATAGTCCTCTTCCAACAAAATGGCCTCAGTGTCTGAGTATCGAATTCAATTTGCAGCAGATTGTCCAGAAGGCTAGAGGCTTTCCGAAAAAAAAAAGAAAAAAAAAGAAAGAGATGCCCGTCACATATAAGAACAGCTAACCCCGCCCGGGGAGAACAGCCGAGTAAAAAGTCCACGTTATCGTACCACAGACATTGTGACAACTCTCCAGAATCATGTGGTTTTTAGGCTACCGCAGGGGAGTCAATAATGTCCACCGTGCCAGGTTTCGGCGGCGCTTTCCTCGCTCTCGACGCTGCTCGTGCTCGGGTTTCTTTTCATTATGTCGGGCAAGGACACCTTTTCCCCTCTCTGGATTGCTTTCTCGATCTCGCGTCGTCGCCGCTTGCCCAATCTGCAATTGGCGGTATATACGCGGCTCTTCTTTTCTTGGGAACAGAAGCCGCCGGTCCAGAAACTATCGCCCTCGCACGTGTTACCAAAAAGATCGAGGACGAGGACAAAGAACACCAGCGCACAGGTAATGGAGATGAGATCCAGGGACGAAAGGGAGTCTGAGTCTGCGAGAGGGAGACACATGATGATGACAGCCGCGCCAACGCGAATGGCCAGTCGGGGACGTTTGCGGAGTCGGGCATTAGGCAGGCGTTTATGGATGTGACAGAAGGATATCACTGCCATTGAGATGAGTGCAACCCCTAGTCCACAGCAGTAGAACCATCGAAGTGGTTTGGGGACGACCGGGGCGCTTCTCGCCTCGTACTGCTCTCCCAGATCTTCCGGGTTGGCATCAGCGCAGTCGTGTGCCAGGACAAGCTGCGACAGCGTCGCTGCTGCCAGCACGTATCCCATGATAAACGGGAGATGAGCCATTGTCCAGACTGTGCTGCTGATAGCATGACGTCGGATAGCGTGAACATGAACGCGGTAAGCATCGATTTCGAAATAGATCCTTTAAGACAAAATATTACTATTATTGGTTGCAGATATTCGACAGCAGACGAAAGAAGCTTCGGATATAAGGGTATTTACCTACCAGTTAAAGGTGAACGCTTGGATCAGACCAAGGACTCCTTTGCCAAAGAAGGCGTGGATCCCAAATGAAGCTCTTGACTGAAACAGGATGGTAAGGATGGAGTAGCCAAAGACCTGTGGTGGAGACATGTTAGCAGCTCTACTATAGCAGCCTCACAACCAGCAGCCTCCGAGAGCTATTATTTACCAGTGACACAAATGCATTGTTGCGCTCCACACGGTGCTCAATGTTGATGGCCGGGAAGAACTCAAAGTACCTTGCAACGGGCTTGAGAATTCTCCGGCGGTCCGCATTCTTCACGAGATAGATTAACAAGACGCCGCCGAGTGCGTCGAATGCAAGGCCAATGAAAATCAGTGCCAGCTGATCGGGCCAGTCCACCTGTATGCTGGCAATCCAGACTACGGAAGAGACCAGAACCATCATGGCCATGGCCACCATGGTCCCGCGTATATTCGGTAGCAGAATGCCCGTGCCCACGTACCACACGGCGGCAAAGAGTCGCTGAGCAACGTAGAAGGCAATGGCGGATGTATACGTTGATTCGAACACGTAAGCAATGTTTATCGTGAAGCCAAATAGGCAAACGAGATAGAAGATGACGCTGAGTCGGTGGAAGATGTCGTCAATCTCGAAATAATTCACGATCAAAGACAGGTCGCTCCAAATCCTCCATCCGATATTGAAGATGATGATGAAATGGAGCAGAGACAAGCCGCCGGCATGTTCGACAGCTCTCTCTCCGACAATATCGATGACTCCGACATAGACGAGATCGACGAAGAGCTCGAAGGAGGCGACCTCGCCTGCCTTGGCCGACCTCCAGAGCAAGCCCTTGTGGAAATATTGGCGGATGGCAGGCCGGCGCACAAGCTTGAGAGCTTCAGTGCTACGATCTTCATGCTTATCGCGGGCCGAAGTGTGACCGCCATGGAAGGAAGCTGTCTCAGAGTTGTCGTCTTTCGTCCTCAGATGTGCCGAGTACCCATATCGGTCAAAGGACGCATCAAGCGAAACAGCGTGGGCCGTGATTTGGTGAATTTCGGCGGCCAGTGTGTCCAGTTCCGCTTTGACCTTCTCGATGTCGGCATAGACACTCCCATGTTGCTCCTTTAGCTCCCGACTCTTCGCTTCTTGATACGAGTGTAGCTCTCTGATAGCCTCAAGGTGCTCAGCTGACCCCTGGAGGACGACATCAAACTCGTCAACCGTCTTGGCGCGCGATAACTCTGTTCTCTTTTTCTCCATATGCTCGGGGGAACTGCAGATATGTAATGTCTTTCCTGTATGGGGATGTACAAACTCGAGGAGACGTCTCCCGCTAGCATGTGCACGGTGAAAATCATGACCGTGGCTTCCATTGTTTTCCAGGTCATCCACGCCTGTCTCCAGGTCTGAGTCTGGTGAGAAACTCATGTGCCTCAACAGTGACGAGTCCAAGGGGACGCTGCCGTAGACAGCCCGTATACAACTCAATGATAGTGATGTGGTGCGGTTGCCAGCATCGAAGAGGGCTAATTTGGAACAAGACACGAGGAGCAATAGAGGTTGGAATGGAAATAGGCTCCTTTTTGAGGGATGGCCCATGCCGTCTGAATTAAAGTTGCTGCTGACTGGACGATGGTGGTCCGGGTCAGATACGAGCGTGGGACAGGGGAAGTCCACCACTAAGCTGGTGTGGGAAACCGGTCGTTAGTCAGCACATCTGCCCAGGTGTCATGAAAGGGCCCGACACGGGGGAGCCGCAGGCAAATCATTTTGAGACTCCAACACACAGATCCCAGGATCGAGGGCATATCCTATGCAGGATTGGGTCAACTGAAAGAAAAAAAAACCAATGACTGTGCGACCATTGTGTGCCGTGCCTTGAAACAAAGGGACGAAAGAGAGCAAGAATTGGCAATCTGTATTGGAAGCCTATCTGCCTTATTTGATGGTTAGCACAATATGCTCCAGCAGCGAAGAGGAGCAGCTATCATTGTACATGACCAGCAAGGACCAGGCACCGACCTATACATCTGCTGTTACTGCAACGAGAGCGCATGATCCTGGTAGCCATGCCCTAGCTCCAGTCGAGGCCCGAAAATAGAAATCATAACGACGCATTCAGTTTATGTGTTGGACGATACCGCGGGTTGATATCGACCATAGCCAAACAAGTGCTTGTAAAAGCCATCGTAGTAGGAATGCTTCAAACTGGTGGAAGAGAAGCCATAACTGGGAGGAGATGCGCCAAACCACAACAACGGGAGACCTGCTTGCTGAACGCTAGAATCTTTGGATGGCATGTCACAACTAATGCCGGCTGGAAAAATGAAGTCATCTATCGTTCGTTTTGGTCTTTCGTTTCGCTGTTGGGGGCACGACCTGCGATTTCACCAGCACAGTCTCATCTGAGATCGGTGGTGCCATGACGTGTCCGTCCAACCCTGCATCATCACCACGCTTCCGCTTCTTGGGCTGCTGTGTTATGGTCCCCGCGTCTTCACTGACCGTGTGGTCGGCTGTAGCTGTTGGCCGAGTGCCGGGAGGTGTGGGGCGCTTCTGGAAACTCTCGAGGAGAATAGTAGCCTCCTTTCCAATTTCTTCGACGTCAAACTCCTCTGGTTCTTCGTCGGCCTTTCCACTGCCGTTCCATTCTTGCAGGCGTCTAGATCTATCTCGATTCGATCGTTCAACTGTTGAGTATGGCGGCCGTTGTGCTGCTGACGGAGTCCTAGTGAAAAGGACGGATGCCGATCGGGCCCTTGACCCTGGCGACGGTGCATGTGAACCGTCCTCCTTAGAGAGCTCAGTGAGTAGGGTCTCGATCTGGTGCTCGATCTCGCCTAATCTTTTCTCTGTTGAGGCGCTCAGGGTTGCAACCTGTTGCGCGGCCCGCTCATGTGAGTCTTGAAGCCTTCTCACGTCTGCGACAACGTTGTCCCGCGTGTTGCAGAATTCGCTCGCGAGGGATTCGTACTCGGTTCCGAGCTCAATTTTCACACGCTTGAGCTCTTCTCGAACGTCCTCCAAAGGCTGGTGTTCCTTTTCGGTAGGACGTTCCGCCTTTGTCTGGGTATGTTCCAGCCTTTTCCAGAACCGAGTCATCTCTTCTTCGACTTTGTCGATTTTAACCAGACCTGCCTCAAACTTGGGAAGGACTGGGTTCACTAGGCCTATCATTTGCCGTGCAAGAGACTCACTGGTAAGGTTGTCGAAGCGATGAGTCTGCCATTGAATCATATGGCTGTGCTTTTCCAAACCACTCTGGAGTTTGCGAAGATCAGCCTCGAAGGCGCTGAGCTTGGGAATCAGACCAGCTACACCGTTGAGGGTCTGAAGATGCTCGCGCGATAAAGAAGGGGTGGATGGCCGGTCTTCCAAGGCTTTCTGCACCTCCATGACTTGTTGATGCAGATGGTCGATCCTGTCGCTCAGGTCCTGGTTTATGTCCGCAATCTCCTCTTGAATGAGTTCATCGCGAGCCTTGTTTTCGCGGGCAGTACCGGATGTGAACTTGTCAACCCTTTCAACAAGTCCCTCCACCTGGGCCTGAAGGTTGCTATTGGCGCCTTTTGCGAGGACGGAAACCTCGAGCTTAAGTCCAGAGACTTTATTCTTCAACGACTTCCAGTCACATATGTGGCTTTCTAGTGAATCCTCTAAGTGTTGAACGCGATCCGACGACCCCGCTAATATCTGTTCCAGACTAGACATCTTTCTCTTGAGAGTGCTTGTCTCGTCCACGGTACTCTCAAGGGCCTCCTCAATGGTCGTAAACCGATCTCGCCAATCTGTAAGCTGAGGAACAGGCAATTCAACCTTAGCAGGGTTCTCATGTGTTTTCATATCTTTTTGTAAGGACCCCAATTGACCTTCAGCATGCTCCAATTGTGTCTGCAGGTTACTGAATCTCAAATTGTTGCTCTTTCGTAGGGCTTCCACACCATGTGAGTTGTGTTCGAGCTCTTCTAGACGGGCTGTCAACTGTTGAATCCGCTCTTTGGACTCCTGAATGTCTCGGTCGAGTTTACCCCCGTTCGTCGATGAAGTTTTCGCTTCTTGATGTACCGTGCGGAGTTCCTGTTCCATGGCTTTGATCCTCTCTTCTAAGGCGTCTACACTTCTTCGAAGAGCCTCGTTCTCCTGCTTTAATCCCGGTACATTGTCTTGTAGGGTGCCAACATGCTTCCGTAGTGTATCATGCTTGTTGGTCAGATCAGCGAATTGAGCAGAATGTCGGCGGAACTCTGCATTCCTGGTAGCCTGCAGAGAGCGAAAGGATTCAAATTCCTGGCGTAGCTTGCGTACCTGAGCAGTGTCAGCCCCTGCCCCGGTGGTGCATTTACTCAAAGTCTGCAACAACAGTGCCACAAGTTCGGATGTTGTGGTAATTTCGGCTTCGATATTTCTGCGCGCCTCCTGCTGGGAATGCTCGTAGTCCACATCCACCTTTTTCTGCTTTTCCAAAGCGTGTTCGACGAACACGGGAAATTGAGAGTAGGATCGTTGCGCGCGCTCGTACTCGACTTGGGCTCTTCGGGATTCTGCTTGCATACGATCCCGCCTCCGTTTTGAGAGGCTGCTGTCAACAGCAGTGGAAACGAAGGTACCAAGTGCCTTCTCAAGGGCAGTCGCATCGGATAGTGTGAGCTGGGCTACCTGCGGCTTAGTAAGGCTGCCCTGGGGCGTATGCATCCCGGATGCTGATGTTCCTTCAGTTCCGAGATAGTCGCCTCCTCCATGAGCGTGACTGTGCCCGCGCGAAGCGGTCGTATCCGCGATGTTGAGCGATGAAGTCTTGACTCTTAGCCGGGGGTCTTTTGCGACATGTGTATCGGCAGAGGGGGAAAGCGGCTCTGAATTGCCTCCTTGCATATTAAGAGAAGCACCATTGCCTTGATTTTCTTGGGGCAAGACCATCATAAGCGACCCGATGCAGGGACTGAGCCTGGTGAGAGACCTGGCAAAGAGAGTGTAATGAAGTTAATGTGGCCCCTCAAGCGTGACGACCGCCCCGAATGCGGCGCCAGCAATCTCAAGCAGGTACTTGCGGGCATTTGAAACCGGAGTGAATGGAGCATATGGCTTCTAAGGCCACAGAAATACGACTCGAGAATGCACTGAGAATTACGAAGACAAGGACTGGCATGGCTTTTTGGGTGCGCAATGCAATGCGGCGAATGTACAATGTACCATGGTAGGATCCAGTTCTATTTTGGTAGGTAGGTGCAGTGGTGGTAGAAGTCACCTGCAGTGCCAGTGGTGGTTGTAGCATGTACGCTAAAAATTTAGGTACTGCCACTGCAAGGGCGACCCGCACCGAGTACTTGTTAGCCACTGCAGTCTAGGACTCGAGTCTTAAGAATTTAGTGTCACTAGAGCGAGGCTCGTAGCAGCCGAGTCCGACTAAAGAAAGTTCCCCGAGGCCTGTAATTCCTCGCGCGTGAAGTGCCAGTCGTCCTGGTCGCGCTCCTGGACATGCAAACGGTCGAGCATCATATGAAAATATCTCATTCTGTATCGTATCGTACCCTCAGATGCGCCTGATACCTTGACACTGGGCGCCACTCCCCTGAAGTGCCTCTTCACAACGACAGCATACCTTCCAATATGGCGGCTGTGAGTTTTACATCCTGTATGACGGTCACTGAGGACTAATTGGGCAACAGCCCATAACTACCGTTTCGGAGACCCGTGAGGTCCGCGGACTCAATCTCATTGCTGCGCACTCTCACATCCGCGGGTTGGGGGTGGACCTGGCAACACTCGAGCCCCGAGGTTCGTCCCAGGGCCTAATCGGACAAGAGAAAGCGCGGAAGGCAGCCGCCGTGATTCTGCAGATGGTCAAAGATGGGAAGATCGCAGGGAGGGCGGTGTTGGTTGCTGGGCCTCCCAGCTCTGGGAAGACGGCCTTAGCTCTGGCTATGGCACAATCTCTAGGCCCAGATGTGCCCTTCACGATGCTTGCCTCATCTGAAATCTTCTCCCTGGAAATGTCCAAGACCGAAGCCCTTACTCAGGCCTTTCGCAAGTCCATTGGCGTACGTATCAAGGAGGAGAGTGAGATCATCGAAGGAGAAGTCGTGGAGATCCAGATTGACAGGAGCGTGTCTGGTGTAAGATCTGAACCAGGCGTCCCTCCTTGACAACTGCTGACGATAAGGCAAGGGCAATAAGCAGGGTAAACTTACCATCAAAACTACCGACATGGAGACCGTCTACGACATGGGCACTAAAATGATTGACTCCATGACCAAAGAAAGAGTAATGGCTGGAGACGTCATTTCAATCGACAAATCATCCGGCAAAATCACCAAGCTGGGCAGATCATACACCAGATCGAGAGATTATGATGCGATGGGCGCAGACACCAAGTTTGTGCAATGTCCCGAAGGCGAACTTCAGGTTCGAAAAGAAGTGGTTCATACCGTATCTCTCCACGAGATAGATGTCATCAACTCCAGAACTCAAGGATTTCTTGCATTATTTTCCGGGGACACGGGCGAGATACGAAGCGAAGTGCGTGACCAGATCAATACAAAGGTCGCCGAGTGGAAGGAGGAGGGGAAAGCAGAGATCATTCCAGGAGTCCTTTTCATTGACGAGGTGCACATGCTGGACATTGAATGTTACTCATATATCAACCGAGCATTGGAAGCGGACCTTGCGCCGATTGTCATCATGGCGAGCAACAGAGGCAACACGCGCATCCGAGGGACTAATTACAACTCGCCCCATGGCCTACCCCTGGACTTTCTCGACCGCGTTGTCATCATCAGCACTCAACCGTATTCGCCCGAGGAAATCTCCCAAATTCTTGCCATCCGAGCTCAGGAAGAAGAGGTTGACTTATCGGCGGACGCCCTAGCCTTGCTCACGAAGATTGGTCAGGAATCGGGTCTTCGCTATGCCAGCAACATCATTACCACGTCGACTTTACTGAGTCAAAAACGGCGTGCCAAGGAGGTTAGCATTGAGGATGTTCAACGAAGTTACAAGCTCTTCTATGATCCGGCGAGATCTAGTAGGCTGGTGAATGAATTTGAGAAACAATTCATCAGTGAAAATGGGGAGGTCAGTTTTGTCCTGAATGGCACCAACGGCAACACCAGCGACGCCATGGATACAGCTTGAAAGTCGCAATTTCAATAATGGACAGTTTCCGGCTTTTACAGGCTGCTTGATCTGCCTGCTTTCTTCCTTGGTCAAGAGTGCGTCGCAAGTCGTCGATTTGGCCTCAGTCAGTGGACCAGGACGCCCGCAATCGGATTGGACGGGCCCAGCAAAAGCTGTAGCCAATATGCCAATGCAATGCTGCTAGCACACCTTTCATGGTTACGATGGGGTGCACCCGCGGCTACCTTTCACTGCAGGAGCACATAATCCTTTCCAGCTGATATGATTCTTTCTAACCACTTGCACAATATTGACCTGGTGGCGGCTCTTGCTACGATGAGGCCGTCTGAGATTGAATCGGCGTTACACATCACAACTTAGTAGTGATGCCCTGCGCTCGACAACCCTTCGGCATTGGACCGGTTCCACGACTGGCTTCCATGGATCAGGTATATGGCAAATCTCGTCCTCCCCAGAAGGAAAATGCGGCAACAGTTGCTGTGTCTACCTGTGTTGGGGGCGGAGGGTTCAGCTCCGTCTTTGCGGGCAGACATGGAACCCAAAACAGGCAATTGCACTGAATATGCTACTGTACTTCCATAGCAGCAACAGGCATTTCCTCTGGATCCACAATATTTAGAGCAGAGCAGATGAGAAATTCAAGGCTTTCCATGGCTGTATTCTGGCCTTCCCCCCTTAGACGGAGTCAAGAGGAGCGCTAGTTGCTGGTACGGCTTCTAGTAGTAATAAGCGATCTCGTCAACGGCAGTTCTTCTAGAGTGTATCACCCGGGCTTATGACCCCGTCATCCGAAACTCCACGTGGACCTCATTTGATATACTGCAGCTATGGCCTATGGGCCAACGAGACATTCAATATCAGCGGACACTGCTAGCAACGGAATGGCGCCCATGTTCTTCCCCTCGATGGCAGGCTACCCATGTCAAGGAAGATGGGGAAATATCGCGCTACTGGTTTGTCTACTACAACACCCTTCGAAATTCATCCAGGAAAATAGCCGGATGACCACTGAGATTCCAGAAGCGACAAGTCTAGCAGGTGCCCAGAATAAAGTTTGGATAATCAACCTCTGAAGCTACACCGTCACGGCAAGATCCATGACAAGCCGGGCCCCAGAGGTCGGCCATAAGAGCCTAGAACGGGACGGCAGATGGTCGTCCTTCTTAAGCCTACAAGGGCCGTCTCATGCAATAAAAACAATGCGACGATGCTGCTGTGTCCGAGTCCCTTCCCCTGGGAACCCAGCTGGGCAGTTCCAACGAACTTCGTTCAGTAGCTGTCGATGATGGAAGAAGCGCTCCGAGACAAGCCTCAAAGGTCCGAGGTTGAAGCCGTGGAAGGGCCTGTATCGCAACCTCGCTATGGACACTTGGATCACTTGGAACATATCCCGCTGGACCTCGACGACCCGCACAGAGCGGCCATCGAAGATAACCCCGAAAAGGCTGAAACGCTAACCTGGACAACTCTGCTCGCAGTGGCGGTAAGCTAGACTGCAGATCCAACCTGGATCGTGGTCAACCGAGTACTAATGCCATGCATCAAGTCTTTGTCGTTCTCCTATGTATGTCCTATCTCTTGCGGCTTCGTCCTTGTCACCGGGATCCTCGTCCCCATCGGTACCGACCTTGGCGATACGGAAAACATTTCATGGATTGTTGGCGGGTGGTCCATTGCCTCCTCCGTCAGCTTTTCTATGGCGGGAGCCATCTCAGACATTTTCGGCAGGAGATGGACCATAGTATCAGGCGAGATCCTTGCGATCGTTGGATCAGTACTGTCTCCCCTCGACTCGTATGTGAGCGCTATGCTTACGGCACACAGATTGTTGCGGCAACTGCCAATAGCACCCTCACAGTGGCGGCGGGCTCTACTGTCATAGGGTTCGGGTGTGGAATCATCTTCGTCTCGTATGCGGGCATCCAAGAACTGGTACCCAATAAATGGCGAGGCTTGCTCGGCCTCACGGAATGTGCCATGACCATACCTTGGGCGGCAGCAGGGACGCTCATCGCAACGTCTCTAAACTCGGACACGGCGGCTCGGTGGCGGTGGTGCTACTACATTGGCATCATCTACGGTGTCTTAAGTATGGTTGGCACACTTCTCTTCGTAAGTGGCACAAATTCTCGCGATCTGGGAGGATACATGGGAGGATACACGAGGGAGCTTCGTTCGTCCATGCGCGGCAGCACCCGTTGTTGTCCAGCTTGTCTAGTCTATCGTATATGCATAGGGCTGAAACCTGACCTGCTGCAGTATTTTCCGCCTTCTCGGCCACAGTACGATTGGGACAAGTCTCGCTGGCAGGAAATGAAGGAGATCGACTACATTGGTTTCTTGCTCTATACTGCTGGGCTAACCATCTTCCTGATCGGGCTGACGTGGGCGGGTACCGACGCACACCCTTGGAATGCAGCTTCAACTGTTGCTCCTATTGTGGTAGGCATATGCACTCTCCTGGCATGCTTTGTCTATGACTTCACCCTGGCCAAGCAGCCTTTCTTTCCACTCTCTCTGTTCCGACAGGTACGCGAGTTCACGGTGCTTTTGGTTGTCGTCTTCGTCGCGGGTAGGTACCAGACCCGGGCGCTCAAAAAAAAAAAAGGATTCTGCAGGCTAATTTCGACAGGGGCGGTGTTCTATTCTTTTGCTGGACTTCTTCCCCAAGGCTCGCTGTACATGTTCACCAAAGATCCCATCCAAATCGGCGTGATTGCATTGCCAAACGGCATCGCTCAAGTGATCTTTGGTGGTCTGGCTACGCTTGTCATGGGCAAGGTCGGCCATTTGAAGCTACAAGTCGTCGTCATGTTGACGGTACAGACGGTCTTTGTGGCCGCATACTCCGGCGTGGTGCCCAACAACCGTACGGGCTGGACGACTTTTCAATTCTTTGGCATGGGCCCATTTGCCTTGATCACTCTCCTATGCTATGTGATAGCGGGACTGAATGTTCCATTGCGCCATCTCGGACTAGCATCTGGCTTGATTGGGACTTTCCGCAGCGGAGGAGGCAGCGTGGGGAATGCCGTCTTCAACACCGTCCTTCATGGAGTCGTCAAAGAGCAAATCCCTGAGAAGATGGCACATGTCGCGAGCGCGTATGGATTGTCCTCAGAGTCACTCGGCGCTGTGACCTCGGCCGCGGTGCAGAACGCACAGGGAGTACCGGGCGCCTTTGAGGGGATCCCTGGGATTACCCCAGCAATCGAGCAGGCGGCGGCCACAGCCATTAGAGAGGCCTACGCGGTCGCTTTCAAGCGGGTTTTCTGGGCTTCTATACCTTTTGGAGTGCTTGCCATCATCTGCGCATTATTTATCAAGGACCCTTCTCAATACTTGACCAACCATACCGCTGTCCGGATGGAGAAAGAAGGCGTTCTGGGACAGTCCTCAGCGGGACACAGGCGGGGCCATCCTTCGGACGAGGAGATGGATTTTGAAACGAAGGGACATGTCTGAGTGGCCAGAATGATGTGATTGGAATTCCTGGCTGGCTCCGGATGCCAGCGAATTTTGAACGAGTTTTGATACTCTGCTGTCAATCGCCCTTTCCACTACATACTGGGGCTTCTAAAGGCAGCAAATCAGGGATAGCCGGCACGATCAAAGACTCATTTTGTAATGTCTGGAGCGATTTTCAGGTGAAATATAGGTACCTACTTCGATGCCTTGAGAGTGAGGATAATTATACTACCCCCATCTAGCCGGCGATGAAGTGTCTCAATACTTTGTAGGAGGCCGCAGTTCACAGCGGAACAACAATAATCCGGTCATTCGCCTGCACCCTGCACTGCACTACTACTTCCTACTAGTACTGACTACAACAATTGGATTCGAATGAAAAAGCGCTCAATGAGGCAACACGATTGGAGGATTTCCATCGCCTTTAAAACTTTGGATCTAATTCAATCGTGAATCAACCTCAGCGCTTCAAGTTCTTTGCAGTTGTCGCCGGGCTTGTACATAATTGTTTTTGATTCTCTTATTGGCGGGAGGCGTTGTGGTTCGCACTGGTTGCAGTCTCTCTCAAGTTCTGCAGCGAAGGCTGAGGCGTGCAGTGTGATTCAAGTTCTTCATTTCTGCGCTTGCGCCTTCCGTTTCGTCCAGCTGGCCCGCTGCGCACCTGGCCTACTACTACTAGTATCACGACGACAACAACGGACTGCGACTTCATTGTACTGTCATTCAAGTTTCAGACTGCGCTCAGGCTGCACTGATAACAATTGAACTTGAAAGGAAGGTAGCAGGGCAGTCGCCTTAGACTCTCAAACGGCAGTCGCGACTTCCTACTTCCTACTTCCCATCTCTCAACTCTCATTTCAACCTCTCGCGTTCTGCACCACACTCTGCATTCGTTCTTCTCCCGCAGACCATGCAGACACTCCTAACCACACTCCCAAACCATGGCGGAACCAGTCCCAGTCCCCTTCCTTGAGCCGTTGAAGACTCTGCACGAGACTCGGTCTGACGAGGAGTTCGGTGAGTTGCTGTCGTGGTGACCGGTGTCCGCGTTGCTGACTTACTCCGCCAGTGCGGGCCTTTGTCGTGGAGATCCCGGCAAAACTGACAAGCAAGGCTCTAAGGTACGGGCGTTTCCCCCAAACTTTGCGTGTGACTAGGGGCAATTGAAGCTGACAACTCTGACCAGCATTGTCAAACCCATCATCCCATCCGGCGGCAAGCATCCTTCTTTCAGCCATCTCCGGCGCCTCTGCACGCTGGTTCACTTACCGCTGGATCTGGCATGGCGCCGTGACTATGACGCCAGGGGTCTTCAGACCGTCTTCCTCTTGTTGCCCAATACCGTTGTCCCTTGGGAGGACATAGAAGCTACGCTCATGCCACACATCGATGTTGAAGGCCTGCCACGCTGCTTTGATGCCGTTGTCCCTCGGTTTGCTCCTCTGAGTGCTGAACAGGCTGCCCTTTGGAGTGAACGTTATTGGCCATCCATCTTCAACCCTGCCGCTCAGGTCGTCCAAGATGCTCCACCCCTTCATCAACTTCGCCGGGTACGCACGGCCCTGGAAGTCCCGATGGCGGACAAGTACATACAACTGGCTTTTCAGGCTGCAGCTGAGGCTCACGATGCCGGTCACGGGCGTGGTGTCGGAGCCGTCGTCGTTGATCCAGAAACAGGTGCGGTAATGGCGGTTGCTGGTGATGCCCGCTGGTGGTCAGAAGACCCAAAAATCCACAAGTCCTTGATGGCAAATCATGGGGAGGGAAGACCAGAATATCATGCCGCCATGCGGGCCATCGCCATGGTTGCCAACAAGGAACTCCGCCGACGTATCAAAGCCGGGTCGCACAACAAATTCTTGGCCACCTGCTCCGAAACTCCTTCTGGTCAGGCTGTGACGTCCATCGAAGCGCGCTACGAAGATGATGACAAGGTCCTTCGCGATCTGACAAATGGGCTTCGCAACGTCACACTGGTTGACCACGATTCTCTCCCTGAAAAGCAATCGGAATCTCGCAGCGAAGGCTACCTCTGCAGTGGTCTCGACCTCTATCTCACCCACGAACCTTGTGTCTGCTGTGCTATGGCTATGATCCACTCTAGATTCAGGGCCTGCGTCTTCGCCCGGAGAATGCCTCGAAGTGGCGGGCTGTCCGCCGAAACTGGGGAGAAAACGCTAGGCTATGGTCTTTTCTGGCGCCGAGAACTCAACTGGAGGGTAATGACTTTCGAGCACACCCGCGCCATGACCCTGAAAGGCGCAGATCGAATCGACAAGGACATATTCCATGCTTAGGAAGTCAATTATCCGGAATATCAGGCATCATTTTCAGGCGAACTCGGCCACCCTGGTCCAGTCTCCGCCGTTTTTTCTACGAAACTCAACCGCTTCACCAAAATAGCCGGCATCATTCCACTGCTTCATGGTGTCGCGGTTGTACGGTCCATTGATGGCACCGCCGTCTCTGGCATCAGTCCACCTGTACTCCCACATCTGTTCCTCAGAGCCATCAGCAGGAGATTCGTCTGTGTCGGGTGCCGGAGGATCGGTCCATTCTTCACCGGTCTCCCTTTGATACTGTCGAATGAGCAATTCTCTTTCAGCATCGTAAATCTCTGGCTGACCTCTGGTCAACAAGATGTCGGCCGCTCCCGTAATCATTTCGATCTTCTCCTTCCTGCTCTTTTCGGCTGCGTCGTCTTCTTCGTCCCCAGCATGCTCGGCAGGTGGCTCATGTTGCCTCCTGGTTTTTGTCTTTGTTTGCCATTTACGTTTCTTTTCTTTTCCCTTTCCGAGTCGAGCAAGCGCTTCAAGCACCGTCTCTCCGCGTTCTAACTGAGGTATCAATACAGCCAGCACCTGCGATGTCGGCTTTGCGTCGTCTTCGAGGGCACGTTTTCTTCGCTCTTCCTCCCGCTTATCGGCGGCTTCCTTGGCTTTCCGCATGGCCTTTTTCGATACGCCCTCTAACCAGATATCGTGTTTGGCGTCCGGATCGGCTGCTTTACGAACGTAGTTGCCCTGGTCGTCAAATCGGCCTTCTTCTTGTTCGGCGCGCATGTTAAAGGCATCGAGTTTAGGAGCATGTGATTTCTTGGCTCCAGCACCCAGCTCTGGGTCGAGGTCTCCTGTACTTGCTCGTACCTCATCGTCTACCTCACTTTCACTGCTGCTTTCCACCTCGTCGTCTTGTGCTCTTGACTTTCCTTGTCCACTACCATTGAGACTGAAGTTTGCAGAAACATGACCGCCACTCTTGGACGACTTGACCTGTCCCTCAATTTCATCTTCATCTAGGAACCGCACGGCTTTTTTGTTGCCTCCTCGCCTTCCAGCATCGCCCTCGGAGTCATCTCCATCTTTTAGGTCCTCGTCCAGTTCCGCAAACATGTCATTTGTTTCCTCCTCTTGCGATTTGGCGGATTTTGCCTTGGCCTTGGCGTCTGCGCGTGCGTTGAAATTGTCATTGTCAGAGTCGGAGTCGTACCCGTCGATGTTGACTGCCCCTCGGCGCACTTGTTGCCCACGGGTGCCGATAACGTCCGCTTCGAGAATGTCGTCGTCTTCAGGCGCGTCGGGAGCTAAAGCCGAAGGATTACGGACGTCGAAGCGCGGCTTCTTCGTAGGCTGGCCGTAGAAATCCTCATGATCCCGAGTGCGGACAAAGTCCTCTGCTGCTCGTTTCGAGCGCCCCGAATTCCACGACATGCCGGATTCGCATTCACCAAACGAAGGGAGCCAGGCTTTGGTGGTTGAGCAACTGTCAACTGCTTGAGTGGTAAATTCGAGAAGAAACTCCCAGGAGCTGAGACGGATGGCGTACCTAGGTAGTGTGCAGTGCAGTGGTGGATGTGACCTCTAGTAGTAGTAACGGAACTCGCTCTAATCCAAGAGCAGTAATCACAATAATTAAGTGGCGGCGACGTCAGAGGCTGCAGCCTCATCTTCTCCGAGTCCATCGTTCACTGCAGTGCATACCTAATTGTAGGTACTGGCACTGCACTGGGACTGCAGCCGGACGACACTTGATTTGAGCAACATCCGCTGTTTGCACAGATACCGCTTCAATACCACTGCTTGTCTCTTCTTGACTTCAAGTCGATGCCTATGTCCTCTGTCTTTCCCGTGCGTACTGCCCTGATTGCCGGAAAGATCCCGCTAGACTGCACCAGGAGAATCAACCTCTGCCACTCCCCTCTACGCCCGCTTCATCCCCGGATTTCCCTGTCTACGACTACCGCCTAAGTTTTCGTACCCTCGAGTTGAGCCGCAGTAGAGGACAAGATTTGCGTTGTAACCTCCCTGTACAGCCGTCATGGTACGTCCCCCTTCGTCGCCCCGCACACTCTTACTGACCACGCTCAGTCGTACTATCAAGGAGACATGATCGGCTATCCGTCGTTTATGCGCGGCGCGCCTCCTGTGGGCATGTCCATGCGTCGCTTCGATGAGTACTACCGGTGTTACCCGGTGGTGATGATGAATGGCCCAGACCGGAAGAGCGTGAATTACGGTGGGAAAGTCTTCTTGCCTCCCTCGGCGCTGGACAAGTTGACCAAGTTGCACATTGCATATCCCATGGTCTTTGAGCTTGTGAACGGAAACGCGGGAAAGAAGACGCATGCAGGTGTTCTGGAATTCATAGCAGAAGAAGGGAGAATATACTTGCCGCAATGGGTATGCCTCTGGCCGTTGCCCCGCGGACCTTGCTGATGACTTGGGCGCAGTTAATGAGAACTCTCGAGCTCGACCCGGGAGATCTTGTACAGATCAAATCGACCGACCTGCCACCCGGAAAGTTTATCAAACTACAACCTCAGTCACCCGCTTTCCTAGACATTTCCGACCCCAGAGCTGTACTCGAAAACGCCTTCCGAAATTTCTCCTGTCTCACCAAAGGCGACGTTTTTACCTTTGAATACAATGATCAAACGTACGATATTGCTGTGCTGGAGATTAGACCGGACACGGAGTCGCATGCCATTGTGACAATGGAAACGGATCTGGAAGTCGATTTCGCGCCGCCAGTCGGTTATGTCCCCCCAGAGCGGACGAGTGGCACCAGCACCCCAAGAAGCGGTGTTGGAAAGCCTCATGGAGGCCCCATCCACTTTCAAGGAACAATGGCCCAGTCGATCAACTACGCAAGCATTGCGCCTTCATCAACGACTGCCGAGGCCGGCGCGCGGGCGGTTTCATCGAACTTCCTTTATGGCGGGCACAAACTCAATTCCAAGAAGGGCTCCAAAGCCCCAACACCGAATGCTTCTACCCCTGTTGCAGGTGCGTCCACTAATGCTCCGGCAGCGGCACTCCCGCGTCGCGGTAATGGACCCCAGCCACTCCGGCTACCACCGAACAAGCTCTTTTTTGGCTTCGAGATCAAGCCCTTGCGGAAGCGGAATGAAAATGGTGAGCCTGTGCCGCCTGATGAGGTGAAGCCACGGTTCCAGGGACAAGGCCAGACACTGAGAGCCAAGAAGCGGACTGCAGGGACAGATAGTGGCGTTAACAGCGACGTCGAAACGAAAGCCAAAGGCAAGGCTGGTTCAGGAGGCAAAGGGCGCCCGCCGAGTTGAAGAGGACACTGGCGCGCATCCACGACCTGTTTTCAACCAGCATGGGCGGCGACAGGGCCCTTCGATGAGCATGCATTTTGAAGGGGAGAATGAACCAGCATCGATAGCCGTCCAGAATCAGGCAGCGTGGTCTGAGCAAGCGTGTGTCCGTAGGAAGCTGAAGGTGCTCTCAAGCAGTCGTTCCAGCCTCTACTTCCAGACCTGGCCTGAGCAATGGCATGCCAGATAAAACAAGCATGGCAAACTCGGAAGCAGTACCAGGGAACCTACCAAAGCAGGTAGCTGACTACCTCCAATACTACTAGTAGGCGGGGAAGCATATTGACAAAGCGATAGTAAGATTAATAACGACGTCCATCACGGAGACAGCGACATGACCGCGACAAGAATTTGCTGTTGCTGTTCGAATTGGCGACGACTGGCAAGGCTGAGATTCCATGACCTGTCCCGGCTACATACCCATTACTATTAGTAAATACCTATACTAGTATTTCAATCCGGCAATGGCGCCCTCCGGTATCTGTTCAGGCGATTGTCATTGTGCAGCTTCGGAGGCTGTAGATACCTTTGTTCACGTTGACCTCGCATGGATGCGTTCCAAGTCTTCTCCGGCCAACCCATCAAAGCCACTCTTCACCAGCTGGTCGATGGCCTCCTCGATTGGCACCTCGCCCTCAATCAAGTCAAACCAGCCCCGTGTGTCGTCTCTTGCCAGGAGGGCAGCGGCAACAGCGGCCACATCTTCACGAGGGACACTCCCGCGGGCAGGCGTCTTGCCCAGAGTAACTCGGCGTGTTCCGGGCGCATCCGTCAACGTCCCCGGTCGGAGGTTGATGGCTTGGAACTTCCTATCGCCACTGTCCCAGCGCTTCTTCGCCAAAGCCTCAAGGTGCTCGTCGGCCTCCACTTTGGCCTGGTAGTAGTGCGGAAGAACATTGTGATTGACGTGGTCTGCCGCCTTTCTGTCCTCGTCCGTCCACCAGGGCGCATAGCCTCGACGAGAGGCGATGTAGGAAACCATGAGGAACTTCGAAATGCTGGGTGTTGCCAGCGAAGCACTTATGTACGCCTTGGCCGCAATCATGTCAACAGCCCGGGTCCGGGAGGGGCCTCCTTTTCCGCCGGCACCTAAAAGTCTCGTCAAAAAGACAAATCAGGGAGTATTGCGCTCCGTGACACTCCTACCGGCAGACCACACCACAATGTCCGGGTTGACCTTGTCCAGCACCCGTTGGGCTTGAGCTGGTTCCTGGACATCTTCCAGACTATCCACTAGCACGTCGATTTTACCGGGCTTATCTTTTCCCAGAGCGAGGATCTCGGCCTCATGCTCGGGATTCCGCACCAGGCTGGTGACGTGCCAACTCTTTGCGAGCAACATCGGCTGCAGAAGAAGAGAGACTTTCCCATGGCCGCCCAGGACCAGGACCCTTGGAGCGGAAGTTGCCATCTCTGAGTGTGGCCGCAAGTCACTGCAGCGAGCTGTGTCTGTATTGTCAATCTCAAGTCTGACCAAAGTTCGCATCAAGACCACAGAGACAAACAGACAGCCGATGCCTCCGGGAAGGGGGGTGGGTTAATTCACATGCTGATGGTGCAATAAGGGACGTCACCCGCCGGACTTCTTCCGTTCGAGATCAAAGTTGTGCTTCGAGTCCATACGATCCATCGTAGCACATCAACCGTCGGTTTTCCGCAGTGCTACAAGCTACCTATGTATTCCTGCGTACCCCTAAAGGTGGTCCCCATTCCGCTGATACTCTACGTTGCTGGCAGATGCTTTTGTCAACTTCGAACAGCCCCCC